CACCTCGGAAAAGTTTCCTTCTAAGCGTAGCAGCAAACCGTCCGGCCATGTAATCTTGGCCGTCCATTTTCGAATGAATCAGATCAGTGTCTTCGACGACCAGTGCAATCTCAGAATCTCCATCGCCCTACACAGGAATCAGTAAGCGTTCCTGTGGATGCCTAGTAACACACCTTCTGACTACGGTCATTGATATTAGCTGATCCCATCTACAAAACTATGCGTTAGCACAAAAGCGATACGACCTACAGCAAATCCTCACAATCACGCGGGTATCATCAACGATCATCACCTTGCTGTGAATATACAGCAACTCGGAGACGTATCTGAAGGCCGAAAGGGGAGAGTGTGTGAGTTAGCCATACCCCGATGACACACACAAACCACAGCACACTTACGCATTCAACTCCTCCTCAGGAGTCCCTCCCAACCACTTCTCATCCATTAAACTTGTCTTGTCCTTCAACATATGCTGCACAACATTATCCGCAACTTCCTCATCCTGGCGCACTTGCTCCGCAGCACCCTGGAACCTCCTCAAGATCTCCCTCGCCTCGTCATCCGTCTCGGGTATAGGTATCTCCTCGACCTTCGAATCGGCCTTGTTAGACGTGACAAGACCTGCGCTATCATTGGCGGGCTGTTGAATCGCCACCGTCTTCTGCGACCACTGGTGATTAGCCGGGTCGTTCACCCACAGTCTGGCGAGCGCAGCTTGGGCTTGGTGGAAGGAGACGCCGGAGACGGATTCAAGCTTGCTTATATACGAAGCTACGAGAAAGATGGTGAATATGGGGCTTTGCGTTTAGAAAAAAAGTGTTTCGCGGCACGTACGAGGAGCGTTGATCCTGTCGTAAGCCCTGAGGTGGTAGAAACGGATGTAATCCATACTACGACGACGAATGTCAGTGTCAAGAGTCTATGCGGGAAAACTAAGACTCACGGTTCGTGTCCAGCCTTCCTAATCTCTTCATAGATACTACTGCCACCTCTGTTGATAGTCCTATATTGACCAGCCATAATAGTCTTAACCGCGGTCTCGTCCTTGATATTCCCGGCAAACCCAGGAACTTCAGGGATCAGAACGAACACCTATGCGACGGGCTATGAGCACGATCCTATCGCTTAGAAGCGAAAGAAACCTACGAAGAACCTCCTTCCCTCTTGAGCGGCTCTGATGATGCGCTCTACGAGAGCCCCTGCAATTCTGTTCTTGATCTGCTCGCCGTCCTTCGTTGCGGATATGCTATAGGAAATTAGCCACAATCACCTTCCTACGATCCAAGCCGACGCACAAGAATTGGTTCTCTGGGAATGACGCTCGCGTCAAATCGACCATGACATGCTACTAGCAACTGTGCTCACCGATGTAAATAAAGTGGTTGGCTTCCCGAATTAACTGGATATCTGTCAAGCGAAGCCGTATGAGCTCTCACTAAACTCGTGAATCACACAGAAAATCAAGGCTCACATGCATCCTGAATACTATGCTCAGTCAAGACTCCATGACTCCAATCCGACACGCTTCGGACAACCTGGACGTTGCAGGTCGATGGTTCAGGTCGACTATACCCATCTTCAAAGCGTTGAACCTGGTCGTTTGGGCCCATGTGGAATCTCTGACGGAAGCGACGACCCTTCTCGAGCCAAGCCTCACGGTGAGGGTGACCTGGGAGGTGCGATTAGAAACGGCAGTGGAGTTGAAAGACAGATGGCGCACGAGCAACGGGCTCTTCTGGGGCGTGTTCGACCTCGTGAGGTAGAGCGAGCCAATCGACATTTCTAGCTGGAATATGAACGACAGGATGCAACAATACCGTCGAGGGGACTTACGACCGGTCGCGATACTACATATAAAATCAGCCGAGCTCATTGAAACACGTACGACACGGCGCACCTTTCTCTTCTTAATCTCGTTCCATCGTTCAACGAAATGCTGCACGACATCAAGAACGGCTGGGCCCGTGAACGTCATATGAACCTAGACCAAGAAAGAAAATCAATTCTCCAAGAGAATCGAAAAACGTCGTCGTCAACTACACTCACGTCATGCCATGGCATCCTAGCATGGTCCTGAATAGACAAAGCATTACTAGCATAATTCCCAACATTCTGGAAGTCCATAATACGAGCATTGTTGTAATCCTGTCCAGGGAAAATCGTCTGGTCCCAATGCGTAGGATGCACATCAGCAAGTGGATGAGTATGCGTGTCCCACCGTCCAAAGCACAGATCGAGGCCTCCAATCGCAGCAAAGTGGTTGTCGACGACGACGACCTTCTCGTGGTGAGACCAAAATTGTACAGAGTCTTTGGAACCAATGTGATCTGGGTGACGCATGACTTGCACGCCGATACCTTCCATGGCCAACTTTAATGGACATTGAGCGCTCGTACACACAAATAGCAGGGGGGAAAGAAGGAGGGGTACCTTGGTCAACTTGGAGCTCATTGTCATCGTTTGAGTGACTTCTTTGTATACAAGAACGTAGACCTTGACGCCTTGTTCGACTTTGCGCTTGAGGATCTTATCGAGTCGCCATTCAGGGTGCTTTGCAGGGGGACGACGAAGGTAAAGTTGAGGGGTAAGCCACCAGTCCTGATTCAGGAGTCAATCTTCAGCTCAAAGACCACAACTTCAACCAAGGTGAAACGCACGAGGATGAAGATACACTCTTTCGCGTTGTCCAGCATCTCTGAAATTGCCCACATATAATCATGTCCGTCGATGTGCCTTCACGAAAGACCTTTTCAGATAGTAGCTCAACCAGGGATTGAGAATAGAGAACGAACCACTTCACAAAGTTGTCCGACCTTTGACCAGCAAAACTATGGAACCGATGACTCTCGTTGATCTCTTTTCTTATATTGTCCGCTTCAATTTCATGCGCTTCGTCGTGACGACCTATCAATTTGACCGCGCGAATTAGCTCGAATTCCTCGAACCAAACCCCATATACCCACGATTCGGATTCCAACGGCCTATGTGAGAGGTCAACGACACGTCGCAGTCATTGACCATCGAACTCACCAATAGCTTCGTCTCTGGCATGCTTGATACCCTGTGGGAGCTTTTCTGCAATCTTCGCGATATCTTTGAAGACGCTCATAGCGTTCTGAATGTCAATACACGGAATAAAACTGTCGTTTGAGCGTCGATGATGATGGTGGACAAGAAAGGAGTGATTGTCTTAAGTAGTCTCGAACTTGGTGGGAATAGTGTGGGAACAGCCTCGAAGCGACGCGCCGAAACCGGCGGTTGACAACGCCCGCGATGGCGATGTGCGTCATGATAGATCATCTTGCCTGATTGTTTTATCTCATCTTTTGATTTCATTTCGTCCGACTCCAAGCACTAGGTTACCACCTTGAGCCTGGACTGGTATCTGTCTCTCTCTCTCGTTCCTGTGCCATCGAATGGGAAGCTACAGTCATCCTCGAAGCGGAGTAAGCCTACCAAGAAATTAGAATGGCCCCCTGTCAGAACAAGCACACGAGCACGGAAGTTCTTAGTTTGTCGCAGACTCAGGGGTGAGTTTTGATCTCCGTATCCCCCGTGCCATGACGTTCCAGAATCCGCAGCACCGTAACCTGTCAGTGTTACTGAATCTCCCAGCCTTAACCGATGTCTTTTGGAATGACGGGCGCGCCGTGCGATCGTTAAACACATCTTCCAGGCAAATTTCCACAAACCACTGAGTACTGAGTGAATGGAGTCGTCTATAATTAACATGATCAACCAACATCGGGCTTCGGGGGAATGTCTCGTCGCTAACCTTTGCCGGCGTCCTGTATCACAACTCGTACGGGCTTCAAAATCCATTGACCCTCCATTTCGAGTTTGAAATCCTAGCCTGGGCCACATCGTCCGGGCACCTCCCGGTTTCGACGCGAGCACTACATCCACCGGACGATGATATAGCCAGGCTCGGTGTGAAATTGACCACAGTAACGGATTTTCTCAATCTTAGAAATATACTCAATAATGGCCGAGTGGGCTCATTAACGTTCCTCGGACGTTGATCTAGAAATTGCATTCCTGAGCCCTTCTCACCAAGCACCGAAACATCAAGGTCGAATCGGAAATCCCAATCTCCTCCGGGGCATGTGCATGAGTACACCCAGCCAAATTCCTGAATACGAAAACTCACGATTCCTTCCCCAGGGCTGAGTTCCGAGTATACTGTCTCGACGAAATCCCTGTTGTGGGGATAGAGGTGCTAAAGTCCTCGCACGAAGCGTATACAGTATTACCTACACCTCGTAGTGCAGAGATAGCGGCGGGTGCGACCATCTTTAATTCAGGCGGTCTCTGTTCGATTTTTCTACCAGAGTACTCTCTTGCGGCTTGACCGGGGAGCTGTTCTTTGAATCAAGCAAGCGATGACCGGTGAAGCTTGGAGCTTCAGCTCCCCAATCCAACTTCTGAGTACGACAACTCGCAAGATTCTTCCCTTGCTAGGTTCCGAATATACCGTTGTGACGCACGAAACCTTGTCAAGGGGAGGGAGGTCGCACGAAGTATATCACTCATACCTCGAAGACAATACTTTCCCGCTGGCGACCGCTTGTAATTTGCTACCATCCGAGATCTTGGAAACGGGGCCTGTCGTTGTAATGACATTTGGAAGCAATTGCGTTTTCGCTCATGGTTGGCTTTGGGAACGTCTGGCGAGTTCTGGGAGAGAGGGCTTGTATGTTGTCAAGGGCTAGCTTGAGTGTTTTGATTTTTTCGAGCCCAGCTTTATACATGCCTCCTCTTATTCTATCGCCACTCGATCCCGCGATACCTCTGGGTTCTTGTTCTGCCGTTTTCCTCTCTGAGGTTCTCACGAATCCGCAACACAGGTGGGGCCGGATATTGCTAAGTCCCGCAACGCGACGGTTACTTGTTGTCTTTGAATTTGTGAGATTTTATGTATGTTGCAGCTCGGGATCTTCATATGTAGGCGTCGTAGTTGGGCGAGAGCCAAGCTGAATTGTGCCATCCCTCCGATAACCGGCCTGATGGTCTAGTAGTATGATTCCTTGTTAGGGTGAGAAGGAGGTTCAAAGGCATATCGAGGAGGTCCCGGGTTCAATTCCCGGTCAGGCCCATGACAGACATTTTTATGGGTCGTGTAGTTTGTTCTTCTGACCTCGGGACCCCTAATATCATTAAATATGAATCTGCGTCCCAGTGCTGAAGCTATACCAGTTGAATATGCGTGGCTCGGGCGGCGGGCGCGACGCGCGTAGCATTCGCTGTGAACGATCATGTGATGGGAATATAACCATTTCCGCTTCCGATTGCCTTTTTTACTCGCACTCGAGCTCGAAACTTGTCATCTTTCTACAAACGCGCCGTTGCACAACTTACAGAACCTTCTCGACATACTCCCCTCATGCTTCCAGACCGAAGTCACTCCATTATAAGGAGCTCAATAGAGATTATAGTTGTCATTGAAACACCTTGTCAGGGTTAATGCCGCAGCGATCTCGAAAGAATCTGCCCTTGCTGGTGACTCAATACCTCGCACAACGGAAAAGAGGATCTCTGCTTCGCGTGAGTAGCCTTGACTTATTGTAATGGGCATACTAATGACTTACAAGTTATCTCCAACTATCCTCCGCCGTGTTCCCTAGTTGCAGATGTAGTCAAAATGGTTGCGATCAGCCCAGCGTAACTAGTGCCCGCATTGCAAAAATCTTGTCTTGTTGTCGTGCGTGGGTTCCATCATATTTCCAGTGGTATTTCAGTAAGCATTATACATCACGCCTTGAACGACATAGTTCCAGCCGACAGAACTTCCTTCGTCATGCCCACTCTCCTCTTCTGCACCTCCTCCAGCTTGCCGAGTACGCTGACTTCCCACGAGTCTCAGACGCCATTGTGTATCTCACATCATCATCTCTCTGTTATCCGGCGGTAACAATCGATGCCAGCGAACGTAGACGCGTTGTCTTCAAACTACTAGCAAGATCCCTCCGAGGATACTCGATAAAATCGTTATCGACGCCATAACTGTACACCCGCCATCCATCGTCATTCCAGATGCACGATTCTGTCCACTACCTGCTCCTCCCGTGTCAGTGCCAGTACTACTAGATGGAGGGGAAGGAGTACCGTTTTTGGGAGGTACCACTAGCACAGATCCCGTGGGCTGCGTACCCAACTCTGTACTGAGTGTTGTCCTCGTAACATCCGGCGCCTTATTCTCTCTGTTGATGACAACGTCGAAACTGCGCTCTAGGATGTAATTTTGGAATAAGAGGGGCCCAGAACCACACGATTTGCCTACGACGATCTGGGAGGTGTCCGAACTCAACCCATAGGTTATGTTCCAGCGCACCGTGAACCTAAACCAAGGTTCGAAAGAGGACAAGCACCAGCAGGATGGGAAGAGGGAGTTGTCAGTTGTTCGGATTATCCTCGTTCATCATTGTAACCCCGGCTTACCTTCCATTCACAGCACCTGTGTGAGTCCATCCCCCACCACCGTACGTTCGACACGATCTCCAACGAAAATCATCCCCAATCCCAATAGATTCCCCATTTGTCCCATTGGGGTATGTGACGCTGACATTCACGTATGTACGAAGGCCCCAGTAGATGTTATCATAATGCGCTGAAAAACCGAAGGGAAGGCCTGTACCCAGGCCGATTCCTGTGCTCTGGTTTATATCGGGGAGGATTAATCCTAGAGAAGTGGAAATAGAAGTGAATTGCGCGGAGCAAGAGACGAAGAGCAACGAGTTTAGGAGGGATATGCTTAGTAGAGCAAACATTCTTGAACGTGAAGGTCATCATTGGGCGACTGACTGGCTTGAATACCTCTATCTGAGTGTACGGCGACAGCGAGTTGCCGGCAGTCATTCTCACTAAACTCGTCGGGAACGATGATGGATCCGAATTGGCTGTGGAAACGGATCACGTTCCCGGCAGGAAGATAACAAAAAACCATTCTTGGCTGTCCTTGGTCTGTATGGGCCAAACGGCCATGTCTACCTTCCTCTCCTGCATCTCTGTCATCAGGAAGTTCCAGCAGCTTGCCAAGTGCCATGCGGTTCCTATGGGTTGAAATGTTGTTCTCGACCCCGCAGTCGTCGCAATTTTCTCTTACCGGACAAGGTCATCATTAGAACCAACCAGCGCAGCCTCCACGTTGTCTTCAAGCTAAAACAAAAGTCCCTCCGAGGATACCAAACATAATCGTCATCACGGTCTTAACTGAACACCCGCCATCGATCCTCATTCCCAATGCAAAATTCTCTCCAGTACCTGTTCCTCCCGAGTCCGTGGTTGTATTACTAGGAGGAGGAGAAGTAGTGGTCGTAGGAGAAGGGGAAGGATTCGCCAGCACAGAGCCCGTAGGCTGCGCACTTAACTCCGTCGTGAGGAATGTCTCTCTAACATCTGACGTTTCGTCTTGCCTGTCGATGACAATATCGAATGTTCGTTCCAGGGTGTAATTCTGGAACGAGAGGGGTCCGGAACCACACGATTCGCCCGCGACGATCTGGGAGGTGTCTGAACTCATCGCGTAAGTTACGTTCCAGTGCGCTGTGAATCTGATCCCGAGGTTTGGAGCAGGACAAAGAGAACAGGGATGGAGATGAAGAGTCGTCAGTTTTCTAGATTATATTCGCTCATCATTGAGACTCCTGTTTGCCTTTCATTCTGAGCTCTTGCAAAGCCAACACCCCAAGCACCCGAAAGGACTCGACATTCCTTGAATTCTGGATCTCCAACTGCATAAAGGGAGCGATACGTCCCGTTGGGATATGTGACGCTGACATTAACATAGCGACGAAGGCCCCAATAGGTGTTGTTATCCTGTTCACGCTCTACGAACCCTATGGGAAGGCGTGTGTTTGGGCCGATTCCACTTCTGTGGTCCAAGTCGGGGAGGACTAGTCCCACGGAAGAGGGTGGGGAGATGAACTGCGCGAAGCAAGGGTTGAAGAGCAACAAGATCAGGAGGGATATGCCTAGTGGATAAAGCATACTCAACTGTGGAGAAGGTCATCCTGGGACAACTCGCTGTCTTAAATACGTCTATCCGAGTGCACAGCGATGGCTTGGTAAGTAGGTCGGTTTTTTACTGTAGAAGACGTTGAAGTTCCGTGAAGCTACGCTACAACAAACATGGTTGATCATGTGCGTATCTAAATCGTGCCTCAACGTTTTGAGTCCAGATAATTGATGGTCAAGGATGGAGGCTGGTTTATAAAAATAGTTCGAGGAACGAGGGAAGGTCATCTGGTGACATTGAGACGCCACCAGCGCGGGCTCGTCTGATTCTCTACCAACTATCTACGAAGCTCTATGAGCACCAAGAGACGGCAGGCGAACATAAAATAACGTCGAGGCAACCGCGTGCATCTTGAAGTTGACGGATCCGGTTGCGATTTATCGAAAGCTCACCAGCATCATTCCGAATGCACGGCTTACAGCAATTCGTGAATCCCCCAAATACCATTCAAATGCCGAGTACTCACGCGCTATATATGTTTGTTGTGGCAAGGCTCGCTAGTCCTAAACCATTCTACATTCTCCACTGGCGGGGGCAGACATTCGAGGCATGAAGATGCATTATGAATGACGCCTCATTCCAGAACCAAGAAACTAGTGATCATCCCAGTCGGCAAGACTTTCTTGAACGCCGTCATGTCCACTCTCCTCTTCTGTATCTTTGTTGTCGGGAAGTTCCTTCCTATGTATTATGATGTCCTTCTCGACCTCGCAGTTGTTGCAACTCTCCCTTTTCGGTCGAGACCGTCATCAGGACCGGCCAACACAGCCTCTAAAATTGTCCTCAAACTACATTAAAATCCCTCCTAGAATACCCAACACAATCATCATCACAGTTTCAACTGAACGCCCGCCATCGATCCTCATTCCCAATGCAAAATTCCTCCCGGTACCTGTCCCCCCCGAGTCTGTGGTTGGTGTACTAGGAGGAGATGTCTGAGTCGTAGTTCCAGTTGTGGTCGCAGAAGGATCTGCCAGCACGGAGCCCGTAGGCTGCGCACCCAACCCCGTCGTGAGGAGTGTACTTTTAATCTCCGATGTCCCTTCCTCCCTGTCAAGGACGACATTAAATGTTCGCTCCAGGACAAAATTTTGGAAAGAGAGGGGCCCAGAACCACATGATTTGCCTTCGACGAGCTGGGAGGTGTCTGAACTCATCGCATAGGTTATATTCCAACGCGCTGTGAAGCTAAAACCGAGGTTCCGAACGGGACGTGGAGAACAGGGACAGAGAGAGAGGAACGGTCGTCAGTTGTCTACCACCGTCGTTCATCATCATGAGACGCCGGCGTACCTTCCATTTTGAGCACCTATAGAGACACTCTTCGAACCAAGACCAGGGATTTCACACTCTTTGAAACTTGAATCTCCCATGTCAAAGAGTGGGAGATACGTCCCGTTTGGGTATGTAACACCGACATCCACATAGCGACGAAGGCCCCAAAAGGTGTATCCAACTCCATTGTCAAAACCGATGTCGAGGCCCGTATTTGGGCCAATTCCATCTCCGTGGTCTAATTTTGGGAGGATCAGTATTACCGAAGAGGGAGGGGAGGTGAACTGCGCGGAGCAAGAGTTGACGCTGAAGAGCAACAAGGATAGGAGGGATATGCTTGGTAGTGGAATAAACATCCCTAACTGTGAAGAAGGCCATCATCATGGGGGCGACTCGACGTCTTAAATGCCTCTATGCGACTCGGTGCATTGGCTTGACGGTACTACGTAGGTTGGTTTTCCCCCTGGAGACATCGCTGAATTGGCTTGCGACTGTTAATGAAGTTATGCTCGTAAGAATATGTGCCCACAGCGTATCTATACCGTGCCCCAAGGTTGTAACCCGAGATAGTCGATGGTCAAGAAGAAATTCTGGTTCGTTAAAAACAATTCGGGCAGCAAGGCGTCGGTCATTCGGTAAAATCGAGACGCCATCACAGTCTTGGCTGATACTCTATCAACTCTATAAGCACTGCAGCGCTGAAGTTCGAAAGAGCGGCAGCGGGAGAAAACAAGTACCCGAGCTTCGAGGTTACCACTTGCAAGTTCACAGATTCTGCCGTGATTTTGTTGAAAGCTCATCAACGG